CTCTCTCTCTCTCTCTCTCTCTCTCTCTCTCTCTCTCTCTCTCTCTCTCTCTCTCTCTCTCTCTCTCTCTCCCCCTCTCTCCCCTCGTCCGTCAGATTGACAAACACACCTACATCGACGACGAGAAGCACGCGCCCATGCGTCTACAGAAACCGTGAGGGTCGAGAATCACGTCCAAATTTGCGAAGAAATTTTCACTGTACGACTCCAAAAACGCCTTGCACTGGTCCGTATGCTTCGGAACTTTTTCACACGTTCTGTCCAGCAACCCCAGTATCATCTCCTGCACTTCCGGATTCTCCAATCTCTTCCTGGCCTTGACCACAGCATATCGACACAGAAGGCATTCATTTCCACCATGACCGACAGCATTAACATCGTTGACATCTTCTGCTTCCCCATCGTCTCTTTCTCTCTCGTCGTCGGCGGCGGCGGCGGCGGGGTTGTCGTCGCCGTCACAAAACTTCAGCAAATGACAGAATTGCTCCGGCGTTATCGATGCCATGACCGATGGAAGATCCTGGGCGTACACTTCGACCAAGCTGTTGCACTCCTCTTGCGACGTCTCCCCCTTGAGTCGTTGACACGCTTTGTGTGCAAGGGAGACAATCTCCGCCACGGTTTCGTTCTGGCCAAGATAGCGCAAAGCCTGGGCGGCAAAGGCCTCGCAAACCTTGCACCTCCGCTTCGAATGACGATGGCGAGGACGATGAGGAGGAGGATGATTCATGGGAGAGAAAAGGGGAGAGCGAGGAGACGAGAGCGAGAGGCCGTCGTCTTCGTCGCAGAGCTTGAGAGCGCCGCACACCTTGTCCTCCGTCACATCCTCGCGAAGCACATCAATCAAGGCGGGTATATAGATCTCCCCCACCTCCTTGCATTTTTCACGGATACCCTCCGCCTGCAATTTACCGCAGACAAACTGCTCGAATGACTGAACGGCCACGTCGACAGCATCAGGGCGATTGATCTCAGCTTGGAAGTCCTTCACAGCGCCCTTGCAAAACTTGCAGAAAGGATGCACGTCTGGAAGCGCCGCCGCCGCCGCCGCCGCCGCCGCCGTGGATCCTTCCTCCTTCCAAACGACCACGTCGTTGTCGTCGTCGTCGGAGGAGGAGGAGGAGAAGGAGGAGGAGAAGGAATACTTCTGAGACGTTACCATTTCAATTCCATCATCACCTCCGGCCAATTGCCTGCCATTAACGGCAACAAGCCACGTGGCAACGCTGGAGAGGAGGAGGAGGCCGGTCACCGCCCAGAGGACACGGGACCGAAAGCCGACCATATTGCCAGACGTTGCTCTCTACTTCCCGTCCTCTCTTCTCTGCTTCTTGCTCCTCTTCCCTGTCCGCCTCTACTTTTTGTTAAGGATTCAATCTCCCTCTCCCTGCCCCTCGCTTCCCCCCTCCTCTCACGCCGAGCTCCAATCACCGCCAACTATAAAGCACCACCAGTGCCACAGCGACACGATTTCATGCCAACAGCCCCCCCCCCCCCCCCTAGAGATGGCGCGTTAATTAACTGCTCGATTGATTGAATTGATTGCTTGATTGGTTGATTGATTGATTGATCGACTACACAACTACTGCTCCTGGGCCTACAACGCTGGCCACCTGCGCGCCAAGCCAATACCTCACCCCCGCTCTCGTCCCCAAACTTTGCCGCCAATTGCGTCCGACCGACACATCCAGCTCTGGCTAGATAGTTCCAAAAGATCTGCAATTCACTGCTCAAAACCTACCTCTCTCTCTCTCTCTCTCTCTCTCCTTGTGCGTGTTCACGAGGACGTAAATCGTGCTCACTACCTAGCTCCACTTGCACACCGCTACTGCCGGCGCTCGCCCAGCATCCGTTCTTTCCCCCTCGGCCCCTTCCTTCGGGCCTCGCCACACCACTCTCGAAATGTCAAAAAGACAAAAATGTGGAGGGTGCATCTGGTCGTGTTCTGGCTGGGAAGTTCGTTCTCATTTTGCACGTTTCGAGAGTGGTGTGGCGATGCGCCCGGCGGATGAATAGAAATGTTTTTTTCTGTTTTGAATATATGACGGATTGAGTGGTGGTACCACTCGAATTCGCCGTTCCAAGAAAAAAGAAAAGAATTTGCCGTTCCAACCAGCCCATGTAGCTGCGTCATTAACACACGTGACTGTTATCATTAACACACGTGACTGTTAATGAACTGGACGCGTGCTCGAATCCTAACGTATCAGAGCATACTTGCAGTCACACTCACAGGGGCTCGCCGCATACACCGCCTTTCGAAAGGAGGGGCATTTCCGAAATTTGCAAGACGGAATTCGAAAGGTCGATGCTCGAAGAAAACTGCCCCTTGGGTGATGGCCTTGTTGGAGGCATTATCATCGGACTAACCAGCCCAGGTAAATTTTTTTTAATTTTTTTTTCCCAAAGTTATGATACCAGGCCAACTCGTTACAAACCCGTTTTAATCCAGCGGCCTAGCTCAGTTGGTAAGGCACACAAGTGGCATTCAGGAGGTCTTGGGTTCAATCCCCATTGCCCTCATGTACCTTCCTGGGCACGCTTGGCGCCCACCACCTAGAGATATACCGTTGGTCCCCCCGAGTGGCATTGAGCAGAGACTGCTGATGTGCATAGGGGGAGGGGACCGGAGGGGAGGCGGAGTGACTAGCCCATCGAAGAAGCTCGGTCCTGATGCTACCGGCTGACCCCTGGCCGGTATCGCCCACCTGCTGTAGCAGGTATCGCACCTGCTGGTGGGTGCAGCTCCCTCATGTTCCCTCGTTGGAGGCTTGAGCACGGATGTGGCTGCTACGGGGTTCTCTGTAATACTATAATGACAATAAAAAGGCCTGAAAGGCCGTCCTGTCCAGATTTGACAGGTAATTGAATTGTTGGGCTTAAAGAATTAGCCTTTTTAATTTAAAAAAAAAAAAAAAAAAAAACGTTTTATCTTCTCTGTCAACTTTCTTGGGTCTAACATCACGACCTCCTGTACCCACCAGTACCTGGCCCAGCTATCGGCCGCGGGCCATCCCGTATACGCGCCACAGCCTTAGGGGGGTCGGCCAAGGGAAGGCCCAGTCGTTGCTGAATGGCCGGGCTCCGTGCTTCCAGGAATGACACACACTGGAAAAAAGCAAAACGAACGATAGCAAAAAATTAGAAACCGAACGAAAGCAAAAAATAAATAAACGCTCAAAAACAAAACGACGCCCGGAGAGAGAGAGAGAGAGAGAGAGAGAGAGAGAGAGAGAGAGAGAGAGAGAGAGAGAGAGAGAGATGAAAATGCATCTTCCAGCGAAAG